GTTAGCATAATTCGCGCCCTCTAGTGAAGCAATGATTGCCGTTTATAACGTCCATTTTTTGTTATCTGTGATAGTCTTTTTCATCACTAGGGGGCGCGTATCATAGAAATGTTGTCGGGGGGAGTTAAACACGTGATGAAAAAACAAAGCAGGCGTCGCGAACCGTGTATTTGACGGGGTCGGATCGAACATAGTTGTCGCGAATCATCTTTATTTTTGTTGTGTTTATCGTTTTTAAATTTGTCCCCACATTTTATGCATATTTCAAAATATAAACAAACTGACGTCACATCTAGGCGTATTTGATAAATAGACCATTTTCCGCTCACTGCGAGAATCACGCGTTATACGTGAAATCGAACGTAAAAACAGGACAAACAAAGGTTATAGCGTCGTAGTGGCGTCAAATATCGCGTAGGATTCGACAAACGCGAAAGTATTTTGGGGGACATTTCCATGCTTAATAATGTGCTGTACACATTTGATGATAGGCAATTTCGATTACTAAGTGAGGGTATTCGAAAGTAATATTCCTCTGTCGAAGATCGGCCGGTCGATGTGAGCTACGAAATAAAGAAATCCGTGTTCAAAATAAAATCGTTCGATTTTTGCGGCAGACGTTCGACACGCGTCTTTCATGCATCTCACGAGATCTCGCAGTTGAACGGAAAATCACCTAAATCGTGTTTACCTTGGGGTGTCAATGTCTGGTCACTATCTGGATTTTCAAACGGTTCTGTCCTCAAAACAATTTCTTGCAATATGATACCAAAGCTATAAACATCGCCTTTCTGTGAATCTTGCTGCGAGTCATTTTGACGAAGGATCTCTGGACTACACCACAACATTTCTGATATCATTGAACATGAAATAGACAAAGCAGGTGACTGATACGAAATATACTCTATAAGTGATGAGGTCACTGCCACGAAATATACAATAAGTAAGTACGTCACTAGTCGATGCGACCATGTACGTCTCTTAGTGTAAATTTTGCAGTAATCTCGGAATACTCTCATTAATATTGTGTTCTAAATGCTACAGTTTGGAGTCTAAATCCTCGCTATGATTTTCGAGTTCGTTTTCAAACATGTCGGCCTTCTTAGAAATGCCGCGTAATCATTCCGTATTTGAAATTCGTATGTCTTAAAGTTGTATTATTATTGAATATATTTCTTTTGCACCTTTTGACTGATGAAGTAGTAGTATGTGTTATTATATATAAAATGCAACAAATACGGTAGTCGCAAGAAACGCTAAGAAGTTGTTTGAGAACAGCCGAACATAGCCGAACATAGCCGAGCGTTTATGCAAACTCGCCCGTTATAGATTTTTTTATTATCATAGGGCGTCAGCACGTCCATCGAATTGAACGCGGAGCTACCGTGCTTAATAATTGTGAAGAACCAATTTTGAAAAAAATATAGTCAAAGGCGAAATTTCTAATCCTTTCTAAATTAGGAGGCATCAACTTACGAGATTATACTAAGTCTGCAAAATGTAATATGAATGCTACCTGTATTTACATGTGATAACACTTCTTACACTCACTTGTATAACATGCATGCGTTTTCTCCGCTTCCACCTCCTCTTTTCTGAATTTCTCTAAACCAAAATCGGTTAATTTCAACACAAATCGGCTGTCAACCACACAATTGGACGATTTCAATCTACCATGACAACGCACAATGCTGCCGTGTATATACTGCAGACCCTGTAATAAGATTGCAAAAAGATTATATCATGTACTGTAATACGGAAACTATCGATCAGCACGGTTATAACAACATGAATACGTTTTGATTATAAAATATATTAAGGTTGCGGTAGGAGAAAAAACGAGTGTCGATAGTTTAATTGTGATTATGAAATTCTTCATCAGTTACTAAGCATGTAACTATGGTAATATATATGAAGTATGAACGTGTACATTTCGTGTTGATAATTGCTTGGAACATTTGGTTACTAGAGTTCCAGTAAACCTATCCAGAATGTACTGAGTTTTTTGCGAAATTTGCCGTTGCTCGCTCGCTTGTTTTTAATTTTGTCGCAGTTACTTTACAAGTTAATACTTTTTGAAATCGATGGATGGATAGTGTAATTCGTGCATTGTTAGCGCGGAGAAAAGTATTGAAATATTACATTTCCAATAGTAACGATAGTTAACAATCAGTTTCCTCAAGAAGTCATTGAAAATGACACAGTCCAAGTTAAATTTTTGAAAGTTCTCTTTGTGCTCGTCATATTAAAGCGGAGGGTTGTCGCGAGCGTGTCCTTGAAACTTGAATTCCAAGTGGGGTATACAACAGATTGTTTATTTACATCAAAACACGTGTTCCTTGTAGTAGTAATATGGCGAAAAATGAAAACAGCCGTTATTTGGCCATCTTTGATCTGATTATGAAACACACTGATATATATGATGTATGTGCCAAATATGAATGAAAACTGACAGAGCACGTCCAAGATACGGCATAAAAAAAGAAACAAGATGCCTGCCAGTCGACGATCTTTGATCCAATTGCGAAATAAATCGCCATGGATATGTATCCCAACATGTATAATCTATGTTCCAAGTTTGAGTGACAACTGACAAAGCATGTCCAAAATACAACATTTTCAAAACACAATATGGCTGCCAGTCGGCTATTTTGAATCAAATCGCTAAACCACTGCATGTGCATATGTCCCACATAAGGTACTAGGCACATGCAAAGAATGAACGGAATCGGTCCACATGATTCTGATATATGACTCTGGACAGACTGACGCACGGAGGGACGGACACACGGACGGACGGACAGACTCAGGAACTCACGGATGGTCGGGGACATGTATCCTTATATGTATGATCTATGATCTATGTACTAAATTTGAATGAAAACTGACAAAGCATGTCCAAAATACAACATTTTCAAAAACCATGATGGCTGCCAGTCGGCCATTTTGAATCGAATCGCTAAACCACTGCATGTGCATATGTCTCACATAAACTACTAGGCGCATGCAAAGAATGAACGGAATCTGTCCAAGGGATTCTGAGATATGACTCCGGACGGACGCACAGACGCACGGACGCACAGACGCACGGACGGAGACCGAATTATAAGTACCCGTTTTCGGACTTCGTCCGAACGAGGACTAAAAACTCAATAAACGATTACTTCGTATTTGACCGCCGACAAACAAATTTTTGAGTCATTCTGGGAAAAAATGGTAGACGATCTCACAGAAACAACGAAACTAAGCAACTACACTGCCTTTGGTCGCCACTCAAACTATGTGTCTGTAAGGTGAAATGTTTATTCGCAACTAGGTTTTTTAAAAATAAACTGAAAATAAGGCACCAAATGCGTCGCGCACAAAACATTTTGGACAACGATAAATATATATATAATATATTATAATACAAACAGAGATTTTGGAAAAAGTACGTTTTCTCATTTTCCCAAAACGCTACATTGAACCGATGATGACGCATTATTTATCCCATGACACATAGTGAAACGTTTCATTGAATCTTATTTGTATTTATTTTACTAACCGAAACTATGTTTTGTACGAGTGACGATCTGAAAACCCAGTCCAACTTTATGGCATCGTTTTGAAGAATATCCTGTGGGTATTTGTATAGAGAACAAGTATTATGGCAGTGTATTGTCTTTGTTCTGCCTACAGCAGAGGAACGCATAGCATGTAAATTGCATGCACGCTGTGGGTCTGTGGATGCGTGTAACCTAGGAGTTATCAATAATGTGTTTATGTTGTTGATTACCAACATGTCTCATTTCGATATGAGCGTTTTCTTGAATTCACACGCTTTATAACTGTAACAGATAGCACTTCCATTAACATCGACATCTATTTCTGCGCGTGCGAGACAAGCGACTCCATAGTTAACACATACAAAACGAAGTCACACTGTTTTGTTCTCGGCCGTAGATGACATAAAATCAGCAAAACAGTAAGTGCAAAAAGAATGGGTTAATATTACCTGTAAACTACCTTTAGAACAGTACTCCATCAATATACAAATATTTGGGGTGTCCACACATGCGCCAACAAAGCTTGTGATATTACTGTGGTGGAGATCTCGCATCTGAGAAAATAACATTATAATATTCAAAACTTGCATTTCCCGACTTTGTTGCGAAATGACCTCACGGGAACATATGCTAACTATTGCCAAGGTTGTATAATTTCGGACGGGAATCAAACCAATGTCAGAGCTGAATATGGCCAAAGAAAGAAAGAATGTACCAATCTATAGACAGTGATGTGAACAGATTTAAGACGAAAATGGCCGCCGAGGTCTCGTCAGGTGAGAGAAACACAAGTCTCATGGCCTTACTCGTTCTCAACAAGATATCGGCACCCATTGTGTTTTAGGTTTTTTTGAACTTACATGTTTTAACTCTAGAAGAAGTCTTCGGGATAGGTCAATCTTATCCGTATTTATATGCTTGACAGCCACAACAATTCCCTGAATGTAACAAAATATGTTTTTACAAACGTTATACACAATGTATAGCTTAATCGGCAACGTAAGTACCTATCCATAGCAATATATGCAATATATGCCATGATATGCGCTGCCCATATACCGGAAGTGCGCCATTTTAAAACTCCCAGGGTATATAAATTATATACATGTTTATTGAACATTTGTCAACCTTGAGATCAGATGGAAGAATACTAAATGACGCAATTATCATATACCTTATACGTTGCAACTGTCGTGAACACTTGCCCATGTTGGACTGTACCGTCACTGGATGCACGTGACTGTGGCCGCTAAAGTAAAATAAATAAAACAGTAAGTAGTGTGCAGAGACAAACAATATATTAACTATTTACATTTTCATCAGTTTATATGCAGTAAAATATTACTACTTTTGACTACAAACCACACTGTTCCATTGTTTTTGTTGCGATAGCTATTTTTTATTGAAGAATACTTACTAACCAAATCTTCAACTGGGAATACTAATGCGTTTTGAAGCTCGCACAGAACGAATAGAAAATCACTCACGAACAGGAACGTGCATTGGTGATAACAGTGTGGGCGTGTACATTTCAGACGCGTATCGCCTAATAACTACGTGCATAACACAGACATTATGTTGTTCTTTGCTGTAGTTTTAAAACGTATACAAGTGACTAAAATGTCGACGTAGTGTACATATAGTCCTATTAATGTACAGATGAATGGAGGAAATACACATGACTTAAGCTTGATAGAAATGTAAAGTGGGTGCACTTATTGCTTATCGCGAAGACGCTACTTACTACATATATGTACACATGGATTAGAGCGAGTGATTCTAAAAACATCGTATGTGATTTGACGAGGGATCAGAGTGTATTTAAAGCGAATTTAGTGAGCTAGTTGTGAAATATGAGACGCTATTGTGAAATGAAATAACATTCGCCGGCTTAAAAGATGAATGGCGAAATACGCAATGCACAGTATATTTATTTCAATACACTAGACAAAATATATCAAAGAGGGTTGTCCGAATATTTTCTGGAATATTATGATTAGTTGAAGTAGATTTATTTTAACGAAAATCAATTAAACTGTGACATACGACATGTGAACTAGGCATTCTTTTAATTGTGAAGTTCGTTCCGCACGATGAAATGCAATTATAGTATAAAAACGTAATTGTACACGTATATGTTCTTTGACGTATTATACGTAGACAAAATGATTGACAGCACGTCTACGTGGCAATATTTAGATAATGATTTCTTGATGAAAAAATGTGTTATCCTACGCCCTCACAACACCCCTCTATGCCGCGGTGTTTCCTATACTTAATAGAAATATATTATTTTTACAATTATCGAAAA